GTGGATTCCATACAGTGCACTAGCCACTGCATTGGCAGCTATTTATAATGTTGCAGAGCAGCGCCCTCTAGTGACCTGCTTAGAGTAGTACTGTAATAACTGGATTATTGGAGTAGTTGCATTTCTATTGTGTGTTTGTGTTTTAGGCTGTCTCAATGGTTCTCAACTTTTTTCAGTCAAGACACCTTTTAAAATGATGCACAATCTCAAGACACCCCATTCTAAAATGTAAAAATCAAAATGAATAGTTTTACATAACGCAACAGCATAGGACACTATTTTTACAAAGCAAATAGACCTTTGTACACTGGTACTGACTAGTATGCCCGTGTTTCTTTTCTCAGGTTCTTTCCCTAATGTGACCCCAGTTACATTAGTTGTGGCTGGAGTCAGGACACCGATCACTGGCCCGCATGGTGCCCTAGACCAGTGCCATCTAAATAGCATCATGGGCACCTGAGAAAAGTAATGCACTAGGGCCCCTAACAGGAAGATGGGGCCCCTACCTGGGATTCACTGTTTGTGTGCCATGACTAACAGTGGATATGGCTATATTATATTATGCTACATATTGGGTGTGGCTTTTTAGTCTGATTAGGTATTTTAGTCTGATTTTCTTTTACAATTTTTATAAAAAATGTTTACAATCTTTTATAATTTTTTTCACAACACTTTTGTGGGGGGAAGTCTTTGGTGAGATATGACGGGTCTAAACAGACCCCTGAAATCTCACTTTTGAGAGAGAGAGAAAGTGACTGAAGAAACATTCCCCAGTCCCTTTCTCTGCAGATGAATGATCATTCAGCTACACTTCAGATGAATGATCAGGAGACAGAGGCTCCTGTTATTGCATAGACTGAAGCATAGTAAACACAGTTTACTATGCTTCCATTATGAGTTAACACAATGAATGATCGGTATCAATCACTCACTTTGTTTATTTAGAAAAGGAAGAAGCCAGTAAATGACATAATTACTGGCTCCTTCCCCCTGCTCTCCATCAAAAAGATCCCTTGCAGCAGCTGGGAGGAGAGTAGTGGAGGTAGGTAGGCCGGCAGTGTTGTGGAGGAAGGGGTGGCACACAGGAGGGCCCAGGCAGCAGGGAAATCACATGTGCACAGGAGGGGGTGATCAGTGCGGCAAATTACTGGAAGCAGTCTTTTGTGGCTCTCCCGGCTATCAGCTGCTACAGTGTGAGCCACACAAAAAATCTTTGTGTAACAAAAAAAAGGCAGACTTGATCCACCAGTTAGCTTGCTTACAATTTTTAGCCAATTTTTAGGCATTTGGCCAAGGTGCCCCTGAAAACCCAGATGACACCCTGGCTGAAGAAGACCAGTTTATCTATTCATTTTTTAACTGTGGAAACAATAATATACGTATGAAAAGCTTCAGGTTTCCCACAAAAAAAAACTCCAACACACAAAACCAAAAATCAATAGTGTGCAAAAAAATCTTTATTCCCAAGATTGTATCTTAAAACCCTAAGCCACAGTTATAAACATCTAAAATGACACTACACACATTTCCTGGGAGGAACTGATGAGCAGAGCTGCAAATTCAAAATAACCAAAAAAAAAAAAAAAAGTATAATAAAAAAAAGACTACTACGTTTCAACTGTAGCATCTACCTATCTACCTCCGAATAGCTCCCCTGTTAACAGAGCCCATAACTTAGGAAGCAGCACCACCCTCTTTGACACACCCAGGCTGAAAAGGTAATATATATATATATATATATATATATATATATACATACACATACACACCGCAAAGATTAGCATGCAATTTGAACAGGAATGTGGTTTCCCCAATGCTTCTGTGTGAACCCAGTCTTGTCATAGTCTGAGTTCTTTCCTCTCTTTGCAGTAATGACAGTTCGGGCTAGAGGGTTTTTTGATTGGTCAGCACCATCACATGGACGGTGCTGACCAATCAGATGCCATCTAGCCCGAACTGTCATCGCTGCAAGGAGAGGAAAGAAATCGGCCGGGATTTATAATCTCCCTCGCTTTTTCCCTTCTCCTACCACTGAGACTCAGCATGGGATGCCTGCAGGGAGGTTTCCCCCACCAAGTCTAGGTTCACACAGGAGCAGTTGGGAAACCGCATGCGATTTGTACAGGAATCACATTCCTGTTAAAATCGCATGCTATTTTTTGTGGTCCAATTTTTCGTCCGTTAACACAAATCGCACCGCAAAGTATTGGTAATCGGTATTGGCGAGTACTTGACCGAAAGTATCGGAACTAGTACTTGCCGATAAAAAAACTATATCGGTGCATATATATATATATATATATATATATATAAACTACATGCTCACTTATTTAGCTCCTTATGCAAAGTGAGACAATCATAGAGGCAGGACAGGACAGCACATTTTTGGGAGGGTTCCATATACCTGTGGCATACAGAAGTCCTCCTGATTGCCATGTAAACTAAAATAGTGCTGTGCTGCCCCCTAGTGGAACAAATACAAAAAACAACTCAACATATTGCACAGAATAAAAAATCAACACTCCTGAGCCTGCAACTCATGTATCTGCAATATCCATGTGACATGGAAAAATAAGCTAGAACAATTCAAAAAAATAAACTGGAACAAGTACAAAAGTTAGAAAACCAGTGACCTTTTGATAAAATAAATAAATGACCCGGTCGCATTATTTTGAAGATTTCAAGAAAGAGACAGTTTGACCATTTGCTGGACTTTATTTGGCACCTATATATACTGTAGGTGTATATTATTTTATATAATATCACTTTTTGTTATTTTGTTTGGTGTTCTAGCATGGTGTTTATGTATCTACATGGAATATCTCTATTTAGATTGTAAGCTCCATGAGCAAGGCCCTCACATTCCTTCTGTACTGAAATGTATTGGAATTGTACTGTCTCCCTTATATTGTGAAGCGCTGCACAAACTGTTGGCACTATATAAATTCTGTATAATAATAATAATAGTTTGATTTACTGTGGAGTTTATCCTGCTGATTTAGATGTGTGATATTTGTTTATTCAGCCCAGCCGCATATTCATTCTATTGATTATTTATTTTATTTTACATCATAATTTCACCATTATTTATAGGATTTTTGATTATTTCAAATTTTTTGCACTGGAGGTTGGTTGCTCAACGGGTGTTTACTGCAAGTTTATATCATTCTTTGTTTCACAGCATCTTGTATTATTTTAATATCATATTTTTCATAATTTTTTAGCTCAGCCGGATGTTTATTATTGTTAACTTCACTCTGAGGGTTATCTCTCAGTCTTTTGAACATGTACTTACATTGCTATCTTTATTGCACTTTTATAAGGATGTGCCTTATGCTTAGGTTGAATGAATGATTTACCTTATTTAATTTATTGGCTCAGCCAAGTATTTATTTTAGTTTATTTTTTGCACTGGTTTTATAACTTTTGTCTATTGTGTGAATTGTTCTAGTTTATTTTTCTGTGTCATTTACTGATTTATATATCATTCCTTGGGTTGGCTCAGGAGGGTGTTTTTTTTATTTTTTTATTCTTGACAAAATGCAATAGTTGAGTTGTTTTGCATTTGGTTCACTAGGGGAGTTTATTTTATTTATTGATGTGGGAACAAATTTAGGTGTTTGCAGCAGCTCCTCATCCTTTATTTGTAGCAGCGCATTAGTATTTTATCTTTATCTCCTGGTTGCCATATTGGACTGGTTTATTATTACAGCGGCTGCAGATTAAAAAAGGAAAGGCAATTTTTAATAACAAGGAATTAGAATATTGTTTGTCTAGCATAATTAAATGCTTTTTTTTTTTGCTATATTTTTCCATGAACTTGGAGTTATCCTTTAAGTATACTCATATAATGTTCACATAATAACTTAGAGAAATTTCTCACTCAAAGTATTCTACTGTTTCCTTCCTGTATTATAATGAAGTGAATTGTTCTTTTATTCTGCCAGGACCCCCCCTGTCTCCCTCCCACCCCGGAGTCATGTTAGCTGGGTGTTCCAGGCAGTGTTTGGCCTGCCCTGCTATGTCTATTTCTGGCAGGGTAGATCATCTACGTATGTCCTTGTCAGATGACGCAGAGAGGACGAAGAGAGCAGAGACCAGCAGTATGAGGAACTTCATGGTATGTAAAAGTCCGAACCCTCTACCACCTGTCTGGTGTGCAGAAGATTACATTATTAAATAGATCCATGTTTTCTTACTTTATTAACACATATATTCTTTTAGAAAAGCTGAAGTTCACCAGTAACCCCCTGGTGTAGGTCACCTTACTGCAACTAGCCCTTGACGTATACTAGCACCAGCTAATGGTGGCCATATACGCTTCAATCTTATCACCTGATTGTTGTGTGATTCAATCAAAACTATCTAATACACAAGCAATTGAAAAGCCATGACTTCCTTTCCAATCGTTACACACTTTGATAAATCACCAATTTCTGTGCAATCAGTCTTTTCCAGTAGGAATAATTGATCTATAGTTGACAACCCATTAAAATGATACGCCGCACTCAGGGAAGTGGATTTTGATCAATAGTTAGGTAATGATCATAACTTACGTTAAAAAGTTATTGATCGCATCTCTGTTTCTAGCGATCTCATAATCTGATCAAATAAAATATGGATAAAACCAAGAAAAACAGCGCTCGTAGTGAAAGCCAGAGTGATGATACAATGACATACACAACCAACAGTCAATATGTCCAATTCCAATGCTTTAATACAGAGGTGTCAAACTGGGGGCCCTCCTGCTGTAGCAAAACTATAAGTCCCATCATGCCTCTGTCTTTGAGAGTCATGCTTGTAATTATCAGTCTTGCAATGCCTCATGGGACTTGTAGTTTGGCAACAGCTGGAGGGACGCCAGTTTGACACCTGTGCTTTAATAGATCGATAAAACCATAATAACTATGTTTCAGGAATCCCATGTAGTAATATGGCACTGAATGAAAAACTGGCACAAGTCGCATGCTGAAAAGGAGTAATGGGAGCGACTTACTGAGATGATAACATGGCTGTGGAGAGTCTGGATGGTGAACTCAATAGATGGAAGGATGGAAGAAGGGCAGTGGATGGTAAGGACTATATCCACAGACCAATAGCTCGATGTAGTATCACTTGGGATCTATTAAAGCATGGGTGTCAAAACTGGCGGCCCTCCAGCTGTTGCCAAACTACAAGTCCCATGAGGAATTGCAAAATTGACAGTTACAAGTATGACTCCCAAAGACAGAGGCATGATGGGACTTGTAGTTTTGCAACAGCTGGCGGGCCGCCAGTTTGACACCCCTGTATTAAAGCATTGGAATTGGACATATTGACTGTTGGTTGTGTATGTCATTGTATCATCACTCTGGTGCTTTATTTTTCTTGGTTTTATCCATATCACATCACACTTCTAATGGTCACTGGAGCAGCTGTGGAACCAGCCCCCCCCCCATCCTTTTTGTCTTGCTTTACCCAATGTTGGGTGTGAGATTTAGTGCCTAGTGGTTTGTTTGTTTCAATTGAAATAGGATCATATTCACCTTAGCGCTGCCTATCCGTGCAAAACTATCAATCAGGGGTGGACTGACCATTCGAGCACTCGGGCACTGCCCAAGGGCCGTGGGTCTGTAGGGGGCCCCATGAGATGCCCCTGGTACCTATTTGGGTGTGGGCAAGGACACAGGGGCCCCATGATCCCCTATTGCCTGGGGGCCCCATGAGTTGCCAGTCGGCCCCTGCTATCAATCATTTTGCACCTTGGCTGATTGACTCTAATTCAATCTAAATTGAGTCAAAGGGAGGCCACAAACACTTCCATTTTTTTAATCCAATAAATGTGTAATTTGATCACTATGATCAAATCTGCAAATGATCAAACAGTCATCATTTCCATTTTGTGCCTTTTAGATTTAATTTAGATTGTCAATATTACTGTTTTTATGGTAAATTTTTGTATTTGGTGGAAACAGAAATATTATCAATGACTTACAAACATAAGTTATGATAGTATCTTAACTATTGATCGAAATCCACTTTCCCGTTTGTGGCATATTGATTGAATGGGTTGTCGACTGCAGATTGATTATTCCTACTGAAAAGAATGATTGGAAAAGAAATCTATCATTAAAGTATGTATGGTCACTATAATTGTACTACAGCTTTCGGAATTATCCCTTGTTTAGAAAAACCTAAAATGCAAAGTCAGCTCTGTCCTATGCATGCTAAATAGTCTGTTAAAAGGGAACTGTATACTACTTATTATTATTATACAGGATTTATATAGCGCCAACAGTTTGCTCAGCGCTTTACAATATAAAGAGAGACAATACAGCAACAATACAGTTCAATACAAGAGGGTTAGGAGGGTCCTGCTCCTTGGAGTTTACAATCTAAGAATTTACAGATTATTATTATTATTATACAGGATTTATATCGCGCCAACAGTTTGTTCAGCGCTTTACAATATAAAGAGAGACAATGCAGCAACAATACAGTTCAATACAAGAGGGTTAGGAGGGCCCTGCTCCTTGGAGCTTACAATCTAAGAATTTACAGGTTATTATTATTATACAGGATTTATATAGCGCCAACGGTTTACACAGTGCTTTACAGCATAAGGGCAGACAGTACAAATACAATACAAATGAATACAGGAGGGATCAGAGGGCCCTGCTCATTACAGCTTACAATCTAAGAGGGAGGGTAAATTTATATGTGATCACCAGAAATGCAGCCATTTTGCTGATTCTTGGATACTATAGGTATATCACACTTCAGATGTGTCAAACATCTGCTCCCCCTGCCACATGCTATGGTTCCTCCTACTGGCTTCTACATCCTGTAAGCGGCCTATGATCCCACGGGAGAGACCACTGTGTGTGGCAGGAGGAATGGGCATTCTAAACACCTGGAGATGCATGATGCATGCAGGAGTCGGGGATCATCTGCTTGAAAAGTAAACCTATAGCCTCTTCTTTAACCTTTAACTCATTTGTGTAGCTGCAGGTAGAACAGGCCTTAACACTGAGCCGCCACACATAGGCATCCACAGTGGTCTGAGGTTGAGTGCTCAGAGATCACTTACTGAATGCTCCCAGCACACCGACTGAGCTGTCATGGTTTCCAATAAGGAGCCTATAGGATGGGCTCATGTGACCACTGTGAAAGCCAACCACACTGGTCATGTGATCTGGAACCTACATCGGCTCCCTGTGATGTGATGGAGTTAGAGCTCACCACACGTTACAATCTGATTGAACAATCTGCCTTAATTCTACATCTCTCCAATAACTAGTACATGTGCCTCTCCGAATTGATGCAAATTGATTGGATGATTTAGGCAGGTCCTTACATTACATCATTTTAGTAAATCTAAAGATGACAGTGTTTAGATACACATTAAAATGTACATACAGTATATAGCCAAAACCATTTTTTTTCAGTTTAAGATGGAGTAGGGAAGGGTCAAACCCCTATTAGGTGTTTTTTTTTGGGGGGTTTGCGCTGTCTTTGTTCAGTGGGGGAGATTTCTCATCACTTCCTGTCTTGGATGTGTAACAGGAAGCGAGAAGAAATTACCAAACGCAAGGAGAACACCAATCTTTTAAAGTTCTCATCAGAAAATTTGGATTCATTGGAATTTTCCTTTTCCCTTGCTCTTATGATGACCCTAAGATTTAACATGTCTCCCTTTTTTGCAGGTGACAATGGCTACCAGTGCAAGAAAAGGGGTGACTGTCCCCATTGGGGGCACAGACCACACTAAAAACTTGACAGAGACTCTAAGCATTCCCTCCTCTATCTAAAACTAGAAAAAAATGTTTTACCTTTACATAGGTTTAGAGGTCTATGTATACATATTTTGTTGTGCAGATGTGACAAACATCCACCCAACCAGAACACAAATGACTGTATTTGCTCTAATATGTGAAGGTCTTATATCACCAGTGCCACCTAGTGGCCATCCATTTTTTTCTCAAGAAATACATGAATCAGGAAACAAACGCATTGTGGCCACTAGATGGTGCTAATGATATAGAAACCACACATAATAGAATATTTTTTACATAGATCCCTTAAAGAAAACCTGTTAAGGAATCATGGGGTCTACTTTTAATAGCCTTTGCAATTCTACTTTTTGCTCTCTTTCTGTAAGTATTAAGTATTTTACATGTTTTTGATAGACGAGGGAATGATCAAACCGGTATCACTTTGATAAAGTTAGTTCACCATTTACAGTAGTGTAAAACTGGAAAAATTTTAATAATGGAGCTTAGTTACCATGAGATACCAGTAGGCCAAGCTCTACTTTCCCAAAGCCTGGCCAAAATACTATCATCCTGGCTGATCTGCCTCACCCTGGTGTAGCACCCCTTGACCTCTAGGGACAGGTGGAGTACTCCCAGAGACAGAGAAGGCTGACATTTCACCTCAGAGCTGGATCCTTGGCTAGTTTTGGGGATCTGAATTGGGCACCAGTTACTTTCATGAAATAAAGAATAGGTTTATTACTCACACATCACAGGAGAGAGGGAAATGGATTCAGATGCTCCAAAACTTCATCAGATCTCCAGAATTCCACCTGCTGCTGCACATGAAAGGGCATTTAAGATGGGACAGACACTCCTGTCTTCCAGTAACTTCCAGCAGATATTGTGGACAGCAATAATATTCTTCTCCAGAAGAGTCAACCAACTCCTACTGGGACTCCATCCTGTGTCTAGTCTTTTCTCAGAGAGTCAATCCAATATTCTTTAGGAGAGTCAAACCAACCCCACCAGGACTCCACCCCTTCATCCTATGCCCAACATTCTTTAGGAGAATCAACCAACCCTATTGAGACTCCATTCTATGACCAATTTTCTTTAGGAGAGTAAACCAACCCTATTGGGACTCCATCCTATGCCCAATATTCTTTAGAAGAGTCAACCAACCCCATTGGGACTACATTCTATGACCAATTTCCTTTAGGAGAGTTAACTAACCCATTGGGATGCCATTCAATGCCCAGTATTCTTTAGAAGAGACAGTCAACCCCACTGGGACTCCATCCTATGCCCAGTATTCATTAGGAGCGTTAACCAACCCCACTGGGACTCCTTTCTCCAGACAGGGACTGCTCCAGGTCCGCCTGTTATGGTACTCCCCACAGGAACACTGGACCTCCAATAGGCTAACGCGTAAATGTATTTAGGCAATGCACTAGGCCGGTGCGCCCTTTGTTTTCTTTGCATTCAATGTTCTGGACTTCCCCAGTCTTTTGAGGGCAGCAAGGTGTGCACATCGAGGATCTCCCACATAGATCCGTAGCTACACCGAGTTCACCCCCAAGCGCAGGAGTATTTGTGTTTAGTATATAGAAGCTAGGACACCTTGTCCATTGAGCATGTCCACAGTATCACAGAAACATGCCCTCAAAATTGTTTACAAATGTGCATGCACTGTGTTCTCTCTCCTACTGTCACAGCAGCATTAACTAACCATTTATGTTTGTATTACAAGTGTATTACAATGTGTAGCAGAGAGCAGAGGAGTGTGTGTGTGGAGCATAGATATGCCCATCAAATCTTTTTTTTATACTCTTGGTTATATGCACATAATTTGTAAATCTTTTACAGGTATTAGGTCAGAGAATCTCCAGATCTTTGTCCACTTCCAGCCGTGTCCACCTACAGAATCACGTTCTGGAGAAACAGAAGATATTCCAGGTATTGTCAGGGCTTGTTCAGACTTAGGGGTTAGGGGATCATTTAAAACATGCAGTTGAGCCACAGTTTTAGTGGCCCCCACCGCCCCCCCCCCCCCCCCCCATTATGCTGCAAGTATACGGGTGTGTTCACTACCACAGTCATGATGCTTTGCTTTGCGCACATGGCAAAAATTCTCTCTATGTCCCAGCTGAGGTGTGTTAGTGTGGTATTTTATGGGGTTAAAACAGGTGGTGAGGAGGCGTCATACCTCCTCACCACCTGTCAAATGAAAAAAACAATGTGGATGTGTATCACTTTTCAGGGGCACAGCAATTTAGCCCTATATCTAAACCCAGCCTGACACTAGGTAGGTCCATATGGCTCATTCACACTTAAGGTCAGGAAAAACAAGGAGAATGGTATACCTGCAGCTCAAACACCTATTTCCATATCTGCAGTGGCAGCAAGACAAGGTTTTACACAAATTGTACCTCATGTCGCTTTTAGTGGGCAAAGCCACTGCTGAACACGACCCACCCAAGCAAATGAGGCAACAGTCCTGCAACCACATGTAATGCCCATGGTTGGGGCAGAGTGATGTAGGCTTTTCAGTGTTAATACAGAAAGTGAGGACGCAACATATCACCTCCCAGCAGACTGCCAACCGCTCTCTGAATAGCAATCCACTGCGGATCACTTTTCAGAGGGGTGACAAGGGCTGCCGAAAGTGTGAACAAGCCCTAAAATGTCAAACTTCCATGATCTATTTTTGCTCTAATTACACTTTTGTTAAAATATGTTCTGTAAATATTTGGAGCAACATATTTAGTGTACAACTAATGCTCCCCTTTCTCTGCAGGCAGACAATAATTTGCCAGTTCACCTGAAGGGTGGTAAAGGAGACCTCATCCTCTATCGAATTACAATGGGTATCTCCATTGTAGGTGAGACCAGTAGAGTTTATAATATATAGACTGTATCATCACTGTGTAGGATCCAGTAGCTTTTACCTAAAAGAGCATTGTGGAAAATGGAAATTTCATTTTTTACTTAGAAGATGGTTTTCCATTTATGTCATAATTGTTGTTAACTCTATATTGGATATCCTTAAAGTGGTTGCAAACTTCAGATATGGAATATGAACAAAACATATCCTTCTATAGTGTGTGCTTGTTCAAATCCAGAGTGCTAAGTGTAATTTCTATCTGCAGTCTAGTTCCTTTGCTATCTGCATGGGTCACTTCTGATCCTGACACCAAGAGATAAAAAGGTGACAGAGGAGGAAACTCCAGCATAAGGCCTGTGACTGAAAGCCTCGGCTCTGTTCCTGTGTGAGGTATGAAGGGGGAGACGGGTGTCCCTTTTCTCCAATCAGCTCTCACTGAGCTCTGCAGAGTGTAACTTTAGCTTCTCGACCCCTGCTTCCTGAAAGCTCGGACAAGCTGTAAAAATTCTGCACTTTGAAGGCTGTAGAGGAGATGCTGCAGATAAACAAGTACAACTTAGGTAGGAGGATTTGTTTCATCTCTATATCATCTGAAGCCAGTCACTTCACTGGGTATATGGAAGAGTTTACAACCACTTTTAGGGCTTAGGGCATACCTTGTACATCTTATAACCCTTCTCTGTGCATCACCTGAGGCCAGTTACTGCATCGGGTATATGTAAGGGTTTACAACCACTTTAAATGTGTTGAGCATAAGCACCCCATTCCTAAAATAACTGTAGATTTATTTATGTTTCATAGTCCACATGGACACAAATTCTTAAATGCTTTAAGATGTATTTGGTTACATTAATAAAAACACTCTTCAGTAAGTTATGTTATTTCACGATAAGGAAATGTGGTCTTACATAGAAAGCAGTACACTGCCAGCTATAAATAAGGCCACATATCTGGAGGTTTTCTAAGGTTTGGCTTGCTCTAATATGCTCTAATTCGCTCTATTCCGATTGTAGGAATAAGTACAGTACATATGATTGTTTAAACTCACAAGTGTTTTTCTCAACACTACTTTTCCTTTATATTAAAATGTAAAAGTTACAAATGCAATCATTTAGAAGTTGAATAAAAGATAAAGTGCACCATTAGTAGTTGTATATACAGTGGGGATCGAAAGTTTGGGCACCCCAGCTAAACATTTGCATTAATGTGAATAAAGAAGCCAAGGAAAGATGGAAAAATCAGCAAACGGCATCAAATTACAGATTAGACATTCTTATAATATGTCAACAAAAGTTAGATTTTATTTCCATCATTTACACTTTCAAAATAACAGAAAACAAAAAAAATGGCGTCTGCAAAAGTTTGGGCACCCTGCAGAGTTAATATCTTGTACTGCCCCCTTTGGCAAGTATCACAGCTTGTAAACGCTTTTTGTAGTCAGCCAAGAGTCTTTCAATTCTTGTTTGAGGTATCTTTGCCCATTCTTCCTTACAAAAGTCTTCCAGTTCTTTGAGATTTCTGGGCTGTCTGTCACGCACTGCTCTTTTAAGGTCTATCCATAGATTTTCAGTTATGTTGAGGTCAGGAGATTGTGAAGGCCATGGCAAAACCTTCAGTTTACGCCTCTTGATGTAATCCCCCGTGGATTTCGAGGTGTGTTTAGGATCATTATCCATTTGTAGAAGCCATCCACTCTTTAACTTCAGCTTTTTCACAGATGGCATCAAGTTACCATCCAAAATTTGCTGAAATTTTATTGAATCCATTTTTCCTTCTACTCGTGAGATGTTCCCTGTGCCACTAGCTGCAACACAACCCCAAAGCATGATTGATCCAACCCCATGCTTAACAGTTGGACAGAGGTTCTTTTCATTAAATTCTGTGCCCCTTCTTCTCCAAACGTACCTTTGCTCATTCCGGTCAAAAAGTTCAATTTTAACCTCATCGGTCCACAGAACTTGTTTCCAAAATGCATCAGGCTTGTCTATATGTTCATTTGCAAAGTTCAAACGATGATTTTTGTGGTGAGGACGTAGAAGAGGTTTTCTTCTGATGACTCTTCCATGAAGACCATATTTGTACAAGTATCTCTTTATAGTGGAATAGTGTACCACAACCCCAGTGTCTGCCAGATCTTTGTGGAGGGATCGTGCAGTCAAACGTGGGTTTTGAATTGTTTTTCTCACAATCCTGCGAGCTGTTCTGTCTGATATTTTTCTTGGTCTTCCAGATATTGCTTTAACTTCCACTGTTCCTGATGACTGCCATTTCTTAATTACATTCCGAACAGAGGATATTGACATCTGAAAACGCTTTGCTATCTTCTTATAGCCTTCTCCAGCTTTGTGAGCATCAACTATTTTCAGTTTCAGTTTTCTAGACAACTGCTTAGAAGAACCCATGGTGCTGATTGTTGGGGCAAGGTCAGATGAGTCTGGGCATTTAAAACCTTTGAGATTGACATCACCTGGTCTTCCCAGACGATGATTGAGAACAATCCATGACACTGGCAGGTCTCAGCTTGGCAAAGGGGGCAGTGCATGCTATAAATTCTGCATGGTGCCCAAACTTTTGCAGACGCCATTTTTTTGTTTTCTGTTATTTTTAAAGTGTAAATGATGGAAATAAAATCTAACTTTTGTTGACGTATTATAAGAATGTCTAATCTGTAATTTGATGCCTTTTGGAGTTTTTTCCATCTTTCCTTGGCTTCTTTATGCACATTAATACAAATTTTTTAGCTGGGGTGCCCAAACTTTTGATCCCCACTGTACATGTATCGCTCACCCCCAGAGGGGTCACTGAGAATATACCCAGGTCTCCCTTGCTAGTACAGAGGCCACCAGTCATAAGCACAGATTCACACACACCGACAATAATGGCTTGGTCTAGGGAATGTCTTTTTAGAATTTATTGCTGAGTAACTTTAATAGAAGAGGCTTCAGGGATTAAGATACTCCAAACAAAAAAATAATAGGAGGAGAGTTCCTCACTAAATTTTTCTAAATCATAGTCACACATGAAAGTCCCAATTTGGGTCCTACTCACACTGTCCAAGGAGCTGACCACCATCCAGCTTCCACCAAGAGATCCTCCATGAGTGATATAAAAGATCCTTCTCCCCCCAGACCAGGACTTCAGAACATTTGCCTTCACCCCCAAATAACCCTTCATCAGTCTTTCCCCAGGACCTCAATCAAGCTTTTTTAGCAATCTTCTCCAGGCCCTCAGCTCAACTCCTATTAAGACCCAAACTGCAATTACTTGTCTCACTAACTATGTCCCAGGAGCAGAAGCTCCAGGAAAACTGTAACCCTCCATGGAGAATCATGATGGAAACTACTAAGGGTGTTAATACTTGATAAGGACTGCTTAATCCCTGAAGAAGGGGAGGGATTAGGGGACTGAAATGTGTTGGCTGTATTTGATGCTCCACACTATGTTACAAAAAGACCTTAAAAGTTAAATGAACTTTTTGTACCATGCGCTCTTCTGTACACATACAAAAATGTACCATTTGGCGAGAGCTCCCTTTCTCACTATTGGAGGGGTAGCACCCAGCTATAGCTATATTTTCACAATGGATCTGCTTCTTTGAAGGAACACACCTTATGGTAATTCCATCAGAACCAAATTTCACGTTTATCGGTCCAGCAGTATCATAAACACATCAGAAACCTTGACACAGTCAGCAGTAAACACCTTACAAAGCCTCTAACCCTTTTCCACTATATTCACAAATATGGCTAGGCTGCTATTTAATCTATTGAACCTGGTCCCAGACTATGTACACCAAATGATTTACATAAATTTTACATGTTCCGGACAAGCAGTAAAAGCCCTTTAAAACAAACTGTCAATCACTTCTGTATCCATAAGCATTGTGGAGTAATTCATCTTTAAAGTTCACATAGAAGTACTCAAATCTCAGTTATTTTCTATGGAGAGCAGAATCTTGGCAGACTTTTGAGGACTAATGGTAGCAAAATCAGGTGTTTCTAAGCTGTTAATAACCAACTGAGTTTATTTAGGGTCTTTCTTGTGATCTTTAAGAATGAATTACTGCTCAGTACATGCAGCTTAAAACCGTAAGAGATTGTTTGTTTTAAAGTTTTTAAGGCTTGTTGAGAATATGCATTTAATGTCCATTGTCAAGGCATCACTGAATATTAGAATCTGGAAAGGTTTGTATTTTTTTAAGTGGCACACAGTATTAAATGTGTTGTTTGCATTGCAGGGTGCTGCCTGAGTGTATATACTTTAGTCAAGGCATCCCTCCCAAAGAAGTAAACATCTGATTGAGTGAAGAATCTGCTGAAGAATGTTATTTTATTAAAAATGAGTGTGTCGGTTATCAGTGTGCTTTGTAGGTTAATTTATTTACAAAAATGTCAGATCAATGGAAAGGTTGGGCTCAGACTATGATCCTTGTGTCAGGGATGAGGGTCCTCTCTATCGGGATCCCAAACATAAGGGAAAAAACAAAAATATCATATATTGCAGTCTACCATTTCTTAGAAGTGTTGGCTGTTTTTCTTTTTCTTTTCCTTCATTTTCACCTGGTGATCCTACCAGTAAGTCTGTTATTTTTCAATTTCCTTAACTGTCTAGTGAAATTGGCAGTTAGAGGGTTGAGACAAACCATTTAACACGGGGTACTTACAACGGTCAGATTTTATTCATTGATGTAGAACAACCAAATTGAATGCTGAAGGAAAAAAAAACTGTTGCTGTAACTGCTTAAAAAATGAAAGCTGGAGTTTGGCTTTAATTTTGGCTTGGGAGGATGCAGACACAGCAGACTGTTGCTGCCAGCCACACCCTGAAAGCTGTCATTCAGGAAGTGGGGTGAATCCCAACAATAATGTCAGGTCCTTTCTCGAACCTATCCCATCAGTTGATAGCTGGCAATAGCCCACTATCAGCTGACTCTGAGTCACAGGAGAACAAAAGTAATGTACTCCCAAATCTGTGGCGTACAATCTAGAGATGGCCTTTCCCAGCTGGGGAACAACATGCCATCCTGTTCCCTAGATGGGCTCAGCTTAAGGAGACAGAATGGAAGAATTCCCTGCAATGGACAAACGCTGACAACCGTGACTTGGAATTAATGACTATGGGTAGCACAGTGGCTAAATGGTTAGCACTTCTAAAAACTCTGATTTAAAATATATACATATATTTTCAATGCATATATGTTGGTTAGCACCTCTGCCTGGCAGTACTAGGGTCATTGGATCGAATCCCAACCATGGCACCACCTACCTGGAGTTTGCATGTTCTCCCTGTGCCTGTGTGGGTTTCCTCTGGGTACTTCAGTTTCCTCCCACACACCAAAGACATGCTGGTATGTTAATTGGATCCAACCTCCTGCAGCTGCACCCCCCTGCCACCTCTTGTCTCAGCAGTTGGCAACAGTGAGCAAGACAGAACTCCTCCTACAGAAACTGCACCTCTCTGTGCAGCCGCAGCACTCCCTCGTCTCTGCCTCCCCTGGTCTCAGCATTCAACAGACTCCAGCCCTCCTCTGGTCCTTCTCTAGACCCTGCACTTTCTGATTCTCAGCTCCACCTCCAGCTTCTTCCCGGCAGCAGCACAAGGTAAAGGGGTACACTGTGATGTAAGGGAGGGTGGAGGATTCTTGACTTCTGATGTTGGAGGGCTCTTGACATCTAGTCTTACAGATACAACAGGCATATTAAGGGCAACCATATTGCTCATGCTGTTCACAATGAAAGAGTTTGACACCCATACTCTAGGGGAAGGGTGATATCTACAGGTGGAAAAGGGAAATGTACCTTGCCCCACAAACCAATCATAAGCAATAAACTCCCTGTAGCTTCCTGGCACCCTCTTACAAGCTAACAAGGTGCACTTTAGTGAGAAACTAAGTGCCTTCTGCCTTACACAAACACTGTATCTTCTATGCAATAAAATAGAAATAATTACTCAACCATTTAGTGTGCCAACAAAAATAAATATAATACAAAAAATATTAGCTGCCCCTTGAAGTGAAAAATCACTTGTGACCACATAATACAATAAGGTATGGCGCTAAACATACATATTAGATGAAAAAATATTCCAACTGTGATAGAAACATGTAAAAAACCCAAAAGTGATATATATTAACTTCTTCCCTACCACGCTATAGCCGAAAGACAGTTACAGCGCGGTTGTCTAGTTCTGGGACAACGTCCATGGATGTCATTCTGGAACACGCCTCCTGCTTGTCACAGCTGATCACGTGATATGGCAAATGGCCAATCACAGCAGCCTTTTACCACGTGATCAGCTGTGTCCAATGACACAGCAGATCACTGGGTAAATACAGTTGCCGGTTATCGGCAGCACTTTCCTCACACTGTCACTGCGTGAGGAAAGTACTGCCGATAACCAGCAATTATCAGAGAAGTGATCGGCATTGATCATCAGGGCACTGATGATCAGTGCCCTGATCATCAGTGCCGCCCACCTGTGCCACCCATCTGTGCCCATCAGTGCTGCCTACCCGAACCCATCAGTGCCACCCACCTATGCCCTGCAGTGCACCCACCTGTGCCTAGCAGTGCCACCCAGTGCTGCCTAACCGTACCCATCAGTGCCACCCACCTATGCCCTGAAGTGCTACCCATCTGTGCCTAGCAGTGCCACCCACCTGTGCCCAGCAGTGCTGCCTACCCGTACCCATCAGTGTCACCCACCTGTGCCTAGCAGTGCCACCCACCTGTGCCCAGCAGTGTCACCCATCATTGCTGCCCAGCAGTGCCACCCATCAGTGCCATCCACCAGTGCTGTCCAGCAGTGCCGCCCATCAGTGCCACCTATCATTGCCGCCTATCAGTGCCTCCTATCAGTACTGCCTATCCGTGCCACCTCATCAGTGCCTATCAGTGCTGCCTATAAGTGCAGCCTCATCAATGCACATCAGTAAAGGAGAAAAATTACCTGTTTGCAAAATTTTATACTAGAAACTTTTTTTTTCAAATTTTTTGGTCTTTTTTGTTTATAGCGCAAAAATAAAACACCCAGTAGGGATTAAATACCACCAAAAGAAAGCTCTATTTGTGTTTTCTATTTCATATGGGTACAGTGTTGCATGGTCGCGCAATTGTCATTCAAAGTGCGTCAGCACTGAAAGCGGAAAATTGGCCTGGGCAGGAAGAGGGTATAAGTGCCCAGTAGGCAAGTGGTTAATGAGTCCAAAATCAAGAACAAAAACAAAAAAATGAAAGTCCCACACCAGGTTGTAGATCAAGACAATATATTGCATTCACCAACCATCCATGACCTAGTCATTAAAAGAAGGTCTAATGCACTTTGTATCCCCAAGAATTTGAAACATCAGTGTATATCTTCTCAATGGTCTCCCAATTTACTCCATAGCCAGGTTAGCAAGAATCAGAAGGAGAAATGTCTCATAGTATAGTAGGTTTATTTAAAAAAAATGAATAAAATCAACCAAATATGCACTCACATTAGTTGGTGCCCAATCCTCGGCACTAATACACTCAACTCTTCCTGAAGATGCCTGGTAGGTGAAACATGTAGAGTCAGAATTGTGTCCAGCCACATCCATGTCAGGTGACGTCATATCTGCTTCCAGTTTATGGAACGCACGCCGCCTTGCCTGGCAAGCAGTGCTAGCATCCTCAGCTGAGTGTATTAGTGCCGAGGATTGGGCACCAACTAATGTGAGCGCATATTTGGTTGATTTTATTAATTTTAATAATATATTAATATATATCACTTTTAGGTTTTTACTTGTTTCTATCACAGTTGGAATATTGTTTATCGAATATGTATGTTTAGCACCATACCTTATTTTATTATATAGTAATAAGGTGCACTGCTTTATTCCAGCCATCAGAAGCAATACAGTATATAGAATGACAGGACAGAGAACAGTGATTGTGACATCATACGTTTATTGTGGTAAGATAGAAAAGTTTAGTGCATGCATTGTACAGATCTGGAACACAGTGTATGCAATAAATACATCCCACATTAAAGATAAATGCCTTAAAGTATACCTCTGCTCTGTTTGTCCTGTTTACCATTATTATTGAAAGTGAAAGTAAAAGAAAATCCTAAATTTTGAGTTGTCCCCAGAAATGTAATAGAGGGAAAATCTTCCAATGGGGACGCTAGTTCTGGTGACCTGGGGATGCCCAAGAGACTCCCTTAATTTGCAGAGATTTCCTCTCACTTCCTGTCTAGCTCTGGGACAGGAAGTGAAGGTAAATCTCTGCAACCGGACACAGATGGCGGGGAAAAAAAATCTGTCAGGGATTTTAACCTTCTCTTACTCTATCCAAAATGAAGAAAAAAAGGTTTCCTTATAGTTCTACTTTAATAGAAACATTTCTAAAAAAACATTTTTTAAAAAGGAGAGGAAAGCAGGATGGGTGGGCCCCTACAGCTCAGCTGCTGCACCTATGCGTTCATGGGGAACCACCATTCTGTGCTAAAAGCGTTCACCTCCAAAAAAATGATGAGACACAAAGGAAGATGGAATGAGACGGATGTAGAATAGTATATAGAAGGAATGTCCAAATACAGATACTGTAGTTTAGGGAGCCAAGAAAGATGCAAAAAACAGTATTTAATTAGCAACAAGCTATCCAAAAAATTCACAAAACAGTCAGTTATAGCACCCTTATCCCACTGGCATGGCTTGGTGCATCAATACTTCGTCTGGAGCTGAACCTAGGCTGGAGTGGTAAGGTTGCAAACAAGGAGTTAACTTAATATTAGGTTAAGTTCAAGGCTTAGGACTCATGTACACTGCAGCTGATAAACTGACATTCAGGAGCTGTTCTACGTTTTTTCAGCAACCACTGAACTCTCCCTAATGTTTTCCTATGTGTCCATGTACACTATGTCATTTACAGTCGTTTACAGGCAGTTGAGTTTACAATCATTTTTTTTTAACGCACCAAACCTGCGTTCAGGAGTAGATTTTGTGGAACGCTCTCAGCCAACGGTGGTGCTCTTGCACCCATGCAGTAGTATTTCTTGGTGGTGGCTCCATCGGATCGGGCATGTGGAGATCTTCAATCTCTCGTCCGGCTCTCCCAAACATGAGCATATGTGGGGAGTATCCGGTGGTACTGTGTACCCTGTTATTATAGGCCCACATCAGTTCAGGCAAGTATTCGGGCCACCGCAGCATCTGGAGTAAGGTGCGGTTGAACCGCTCGCATGCCCCTGGGGGTGATACGGGGTGGTGTGGGAACATTCGATCCCATACAGTTGGTACAACTCATTCATTAGAGTACCCTGAAAAC